ATTTCTAAACCAAAAAGGTTTATCTTTGAGAAAATAAAAGAAAACAACTAAAAAATAATAATTTAAATATATATATATTTATATATATTTTTTCGATTGTTACAAACACCCCACCTAAAAAGAAATTTCGTCCTCGAAATTTACATATCTTGCTAAGCGAATACTCAGGATACTATCTATCATATCCTTTTCAGTTTCCCAATTAGCTTCTTCAGATGAATGATTCCTCCATAAAACTTTTAAAAGAGGAATAGTTTTATTGCATAAAACTCGATCCTTCTTGTCCAAAATTTGAATTGGAATCTCATCATAGGTTAGGTTTTCTTTTACTTGGAGTGGTTCGTAGCTTAGCACATGTGATGCGTCTGCAATATACTTTCGAAGCATTGAAACATGGAAAGTATTGTGGATTCGATCTAAGGCAGGTGGTAAGGCCAAGCGATATGTTACAACACCCACCGTTTCTAAAATTTCAAAGGTCCAATAAATCTTGGCCTAAGCTTTCCTTTCCTTTCAAATCTTAAAATTCCTTTTAATGGTGAAACTTTCAGAAATACCATGTTTCCAACCTCAAAGCTCAATTCTTTCTTCTAACATCAGCATAACTTTTTTTTTTTGACGACTCTAGGCTGTCTCCATTCTCTGTCTGATTAAGTTAATGGACTCGTTTGTCTTCTGCTCTAATTCTGGTCCCAAAATTAAATTCTCTCCAACTTCACTCCAATTGACAAGTGACCTGCATTTTCGTCCATAAAAAACCTCGAAGGGTGTCATTCCAATGGTTGCTTGATAGCTACTATTATAAAAAAATTCAATAAAATGCATATGTTTCTCCCAACTCCCTTGAAAAACCAACGTACAAGCTCGAAGCATATCTTCCAATGTTTGAATTGTCCTCTCTATTTGGCCATCGGTCTGCGGGTGAAAAGCAATACTGAAGTCAAGTCTCGTGCCCATAGCTTTATGCAAACTTCTCCAAAACTTGGAGGTAAACTTTGGATCTCTATCCGATACTATAGAGATCGGTATACCATGTAGTCGAACTATTTCCTTGACATAAATTTGAGCCCATTTTTTTGCTGTGTAAGTAGACTTACCCGGTAAAAAGTGAGTTGATTTAGTTAAACGGTCAACAATGACCCACACAGTCTCAAAACCATGTTGTGTCTTAGGTAATCCAGTCACAAAATCCATTGAGATAGTCTCCCATTTCCACTCAGGTATAACCAATGGTTGGAGGGGTCCCGATGGTTTTTTATGTTCAATTTTTACCTGCTGGCATGTTAGACAATGACTAACAAAGTCGACAACGTCTCGCTTCATTCCTATCCACCAATAAGTTCTTCGGAGGTCTTGGTACATTTTTAAACTCCCAGGGTGAACCGAATATGGAGTATTATGAGTTTCAGCCATGATCTCCTTCTTAATAGGTTTTAAAACAAAATCTTATTAATCACCTTTCCAATATGACGATTTATCCTTCTCCTTTAACATAAAGGGAAAATCAAATTCTCGCACTGTACTTACGTTTCATCGCCAAAGTCTCATGCAATATCTTTGAACAAACACATACCAAAGTTCTAAGTTTCAAATAACAACGAGACTTCTTGTACCAATACGTATAATTCATAAGCACAAATCTTGTCATAAATTGTCAAGTTGTATGGGGATGTAACTGATGTCTCAACATGTTTATTTCAAATTGTTTGCTCATTCCTCTCGTAAACTCGATAAGATGGATTCGCTTCTACCACATGTCTCGGATTTCTTGAGTAAGCGAGTGAACCTGAAGACTATTTAGGGTTTCAAACCTAAACTCTACCTAGGGTGTCTGTCCTTGTCGCACGATAGGTTAAGAGTAAATGAGCGACCTATTTTTTTCCGTTAAGCTAGGAGGGTCCCTCTCAAATGAAAACAATTCTTGGTCTGTCAAAATGATAAAACTTTTCCTTGTCCATTACTGCTTCTCACGTACTATTCTTTATTAAGGCTAATATACTCTTGGCGTTCCCTTTAAAACTCCAAATGACATATATTCTTAATTTCCAACACATGTTCAACATATAATCTTACAACAACCTTACCTTTGTAGTTTCTAATTAAACCTCTGGTATGGTCTCTTTTTTTCTATTAACTATTTGACATTTCACATCTCCAAAACTTTTCTTAGCTTGAACCAATTGAACTAGTCGAAGTCTTTTCATCTTAATGACTGAATAAAACTCAAAAAAAATTTAAAGTACCTCAAAATGACTATTCACTCTAGAGTCAACAACCTATTTTCTTGTTTGAAGTCTTATTGCTTCAGCGTTTTCCATTGATAACCTTATATAAGCATGTTATTTAAATAAGTGAGCTTCAAGTTTTTTTTTTTTTAATTACACTTAATCATACGCCTTTTATTCATTTAGTAGAACACCCAAATGACTAAGATGTCTTACTTCATCCATAAAACTTCAAACTTTGCGACCATAATTCATAATATTATCAACCATGCTCAATTATCCTTAGTTCTCGTATAAAGACTGAAGTTATATCAAACTCATACCAAATGGGGAAAGATGTGACGCTATCTAGAGTTCGAGATCATTCCTTAATATAGCATGTCGATCGACGAGTCCATAGTTTAAAACTTGATAAACTTAGATTGCTGTCTTGTGCAACTATGACAAGAGAGTATATTTCCAAAACCAAAAGTTTCTTAAAACGTCTCCAAAAGGTT